AATGGACTTGTGTTTCTCCCCCACCTTGGTGTAAAAATTGGTTTTGTTTTGAAAGGACAGGGTTCTTTTTATGACAATCTGGAATTCAGCCCAACTGAGTGTAGTTTTAGTTGTTAGGAGAGACCATTGGGGATAGGAAAGATGAAAGGTCATGGTGAGCTTCAAGGACATGAAAGGTTGTTGTCTCATGTAACAATAGTAGATTGTGTTTTTTCCCCCTAATATTTCTAGCCAGGCCGAAGTCAGGTGATGGAACAAATACCTGCAGTTTAGTCAGGTGAAACAGGAGGGAGTGGGGGAAGGAAAAAAAAAAGAAAAGAGGGGGAAGAGAGTTTATGCTCTGCTAAAAGAAATAACAAAAGGGTAACTCCAATTTACTTCTACTAAACAAAGTGATATTTCTTTGTCACCACTTGTGACATTCCGGTGTGCCTTGGATGGCTTGCCTCTGTGGGCCATCACATCTCTGGGAAGCTCTCCAATGTGTTATGAAATGTGATTTAAAGCTTTCTTCTTGAATTCCCAGGAGTAACAGTGATGTGATATTTAACAATAAATTTAGTTGTAGCTTTCTCACATTATTGGTGCTCTTAAAAGGTTTTCTGTCAAATGCACACTGAATAAAAATGAATGATAAATATGAAAGAAATTTGTTTCACCACTCTACAGGGTTTTTATCATAAATTCTATGACTTCCATCACAGAAAGTTTACAGGAAACTGTTTAGATGTTGCTGCAATAGCAGAACAAATTTTTCTCTTATGTACATAAGAAAATGTCACAAATTTAAGGGATATTGGGAGTTGGAAGTAGTAGGAAAAGAATTGAATACAGTGCCATTTCTTTAAAATCCTCAAAACCAAATCACCCTCTCTGGGTTTAAAATTTATCTTACCAATATTAAAAATACTTGGTGTAGTTATTGCTCTGTGTGTGTGTGTGTGTGTTAAGAATCAGAGAGAGTATAGGAACAATAGCACTTTATTTGTAAGCAAAAAAGTCCTCCTTTGGATGATCTCAGAAACCTTCCTAGTTTTTCTTCTCTATTGTCCCCAAACAACCCTTATGTGATTGAAGCTGGACCTGGTCCAGGGGGTTGGGGAGATTTTCAAGTTCTCTTTTAATCCTAAACCTTTGTTTCTTTTTCTAGCCAACTATCCTTATTGCTGTAGCCTTTATTCTTTTGAGAAGCTGTGTTGCTTTAATTTAGTATAGATGTCTCAGATTTGACATAATAATATCATGCAATTTCAGAGTTTAATAACTTTTGTGATCATCTAAGCAAATTTTTATATTTGAAAACTAAGGAAAGTGAGGCTTGGATTGTCCAAAGAGAGGCAAATGGATCAGTTTTCTACATTGTTTAAAACCTGAAATCGAAGAATAATAGAAAAGCATTATAGGAGCATGTTTCATTTGTTTACAGTCATTTTAGTGGTTGAAGAGGGACAGAATAAAACAGAGGGGTTGGGATTCAGATAAGAGTTTGTGTTAACTATTAAAGCTCCATTTTAAGTAAATGGATAAATGGATGGTGGAGTGTTTTGTATCAGTGTGATGTCCCCTCCCCTCAAAGCATCTTACGTATGCATCTATTCCCAGTTGTAGCTCTGTAACTCTAAGGTAATAACATTGTTGTTTGGTTTGTTTGTTTGTTTTCTTGTTTTAGGATCTGAAAACCTCTTTTGATCTAGACATTATGTTATATACTTTCATACATATTATAATTTACAATTTTAGTTCTTTGTTTTCTAGTATGTTAAATTACTTGTTTCTTAGCTTTTGTTATTTAACTTTATTAAACATAAGAATTGTGTTATGATTGAAAATATACATTTGACAGAGTATTGTCAGACCATAGATTTAGATTTATGTTTTATTCAAACACATATATTCTAAAATATTCATAATATTAACACCAATAAATGTTGTGGTTTAGTTTTAAGATCACTTAGAAAATATTTAGAAATTTAAGATCATGTCTAATTTTACCTTATTTCATATTAAAGAAATTTTCCCCTTCATAATATATTTTATTTCCATCTCTCTGGGTATAGAAGAAAAAAGAACATGTTAAGCTTGCTTGCTGGTCTTTCATCAGTGTCCAGGGCAGTGCCTGGCTCAGAAAGACTCAAAAAATTGAGTATATGGAAAAAACTGGCAAAATTGAGTCACACTGACCTACTTGATTATAGCATCCCATACACTCCCATCATTTCTTCAAGATTGTGCTTATGCATTATCTTCTTAGTGAGGTCTACCTTTACTTTATTTAAAAAACAAGCAATTTGCTTGGTACAGGTGGCTCACACCTGTAATCCTAGCTACTCAGGAGTCTGAGTTCTGAAGATTGTGGTTCAAAGCCAATCCAGGCAGTCTGTTGGACTGTTATCTCCAATTAATCCCTAAAAAGCCAAGTGGCTCAAGTGACAGAGCACTAGCTTTGAGCAAAAAACACCTCATAGACAGTGAACTCAGTGTTTCTGAGTTCAAACCCTAGGACTGGCACACAAAAAAATTTCAAGTGTCTGTTTTTCAAGTCAGGATAAATCTTCTCTTCTTCATATAAGCAATCTTTATCAGTTAATTTGTGTACTGATCAAGGATTCTAAGTTTCTCAGGTTTAGTATTCATATTGTCTGCTTAAATCAAATCATAGACCTTGGACCTTAGCTAGTATTGGGACAAATGCCCCAAGCTATTGCCATAAGAAGTCAGTCTGAACTTTAACTTTGAGTAGATGTTTCTGGATGAGAAATGCCACCACTATCACTGTAAATGATCCTTTTCTTTAGCAAGAAGTCCTTTACATTTATTTTACATTGTTTGTTGTACATTCTGGGATCATTTTTCTTTACTCTTCTTGTTTTTCCAAAGACATTTCACAAACTCCTGTTATTTTTATATACTTTTCTTTAGAAGTTATAAGATAATAATATAAAACAACACCATCTCATGTCTTTTGTGTATATGTTAATTATAATCTTTTATAACTTATATAACTACAGTAATCATTTATATTTATGTTACTTATAATTTCACAATTATTTTATTAAACATGTTACTTATAATTTATACTTTATAATTTATACTTACATTATAATTTCATATTGTCATTTTATAAAAATAAACAACAGGACATACAGAACTGAAAAGAGACAGTCTAATAACAGGTAAATATGTTCTACATAATCAGTTTTGCACTTGACTGAAGACCATGAACATTTCAAATCTTCTGAGTTTTATTCAGTACAATTTGTTCACTTTTGATCATTTTAAACTTCTCTCCAGATTATATCATCATTTTTGATGACCTTTCTAAATAAATTTCAAGAAAATAAACATATTTAAAATGAAACAAATGTATTCATTTAACTTAAATTTCATTTTTCTAATTTTGTATCAGTGTCTTGTGCTGTTGCCTAAGTTGGCCTCAAATTCTCTATCTTCCTGCCTCTAAGAAGGTCAAATTAATGGGATGGGCCACTGTTCCCACCTCTTAAATTTTATTTTCCCTGGACTACTGTTTCAGTTCTCAAGGACTTCTATTCAACAGTTTGTAATTCTTTTTTTTTCTGTAGTCATTAGCTTTTTCTTCTTTCTGACTATAAACATGGGTTTTTGTATAGCAATTTGTGAAATCATAGATTGCTGTGTTTGTTCTTTGACCTTTTAATTAGATGTTCGTTTTACATCTCTGATGTAACTATACTCATCATGTCAAGCACAGATCAGACTAGGTAGTGTCAACAAGGATAGAAACAGCCTTGGAAATAAGTTAATATAGCAAACAAAACATGTTAGATAAAAAATTGGACAACAGAAACCAAGTGTAGCATATTATGAATACAATATGCTAAAAACAAAATATTAAAGTGCCTAATAAAGTGATTAATAAAGTAGAACAAGCAAAGAAATGCAAAGTCAAACAAAATGAAAGAAACAAAACAACAAAAAATCAACCTCAGGCAACTTAGACTTTTGGTTACAATGTAGTCACTATATAGAATTAAAAGATGTTTTGTTTCTGAATGGTTTGAATGTGGAAGATTACCAAGGCTATGGAAGAATCATAGTCTTAGATGGACCAGTGCATTCAGATACAAGAAAATGAGGTAGAATATTAATTATTAGAATCAAGGCGAAAGGTCAAGGTCAAGTTAGCAACAAGAATAATTTTATTGAGTCTCAAGACATCATGTGGGTATCTTTCCAATAAGTCCCAAATGGTCCTAGAGCTACGTAAGAATCAAATGGGATGCTTAGGATACCGGAAATAGGGTGCAGTTATATACACACGCGTACACACACACACACACACACACACACACACACACACACGCGCGCGCGCGCACACACACGCACAAACCCATCCCAGATTATACTAATGCAAGTATTTACAGGTTACATTTGGAGAAAAGTGCCCTAAGACCTGGGATGGTACTTACTCTGAGATAAGGGACCTACTGGCTACAACTGTCGAGGAAGGAGGCATTTAGAATTGGTAGTCAGACCTTTTTATTCAGAGGAAACTTAAGCTCTTATTCAGGGAACTGAGTTGTGTTTATCTGCATATGTGAGAAAGCAGTAAACATGGGCTGGTATGCACTGGACTCTGGTGCTTTAAGCTTGTTCGCTTTTTTTTTTTTTTTTTTTGCTTCATGCCTCTTGTTTCCTGTGTTTATGACCTCAGTGCTTCTGTAATACCTAACAAAGATTTATACCTTTTCAAGTAAAAAGTAAGGCTCATTGTTTTCTGTGCTTGATTGAAACTGTCCCCAATTTTGCTTTCCTTTTGTTATCTGAATGATTAAATTTCCTCTGGTCCATCCCCCTTCATAAATTGAGTTAGGTCTGAGTTAAGCAGACGGCTGTAATGCTAAGGGTTAACCAGAAGAGAATTACAAATGAACTATCTAGAAAGTTGATTATTAATCCAGCTAGAGAAGAAATATCCTTTTACTTAGCAAGAATGAGTATCCAAAGAGCTGATAATATTGTTCAGGCAGTGAGGTGGAATGGCAGAGCTTGGTAAGTAAAACAAACTTGGAATTAATCTTTTATATCTATTTTTATATGAGTACAATGTTGATACATTTAAGCAATGATGTCTAATATGAATTTAAAAGCTGGTAGAACAAATCTAAAAAGTTCCAAATGTATTTGTTAATGAGTTCCCTGTATAGGCTATCGGTAGAAGTTAATTTTGTATTTACATAAAGAGATAAATGTGTTTAATTTTGAATATTTATAAAAATACATGATTAGATTTGTGACTAAGAACAAGGAAGTGGGCATGGAGGAATGAATAGTAAAACAATCCAAGTCCAAGCCTCAAAGAATATAAACTGAAGAATCTTGAGTGACAAACTATTTCTTAGTTTTTTTTTCTTCAAAAGAGCAGTGCTGGATTTTTTTGTATTAAAATATAATTTAAAGTCTAATATTCACATACAGATTCAGTGAGCTACTTTTCAGACATCTAGGTAACAAAAACTGTCACAGGTTCTGGTATTTTCAGGGTCCCAGGACTCATTTTATGGTAATGTTTAAAGACCTTTTCTAAAGACAGCTTTTATTGTATTTGTGAATTCGAAGGAAAGAGAAATGAAAGGATCTGTGCTATTTGTACAAAGAAAATTAAGTGAAAAGATATGATTTTAATAATGTTCTTCTACAAAAGACTGCTCCTGCAGTTGTAGCAGAAATTTTGATGTCAATATTCAATTCTATAAGATTGAAGTTTTTCACAGATTGCTTGATTCTGCAAAGATGAACCTTTAAAATATAATATAGACCATAATGAATATCATCAAAGCTCTGTATAATCATAAATGATGTTAATATAGCATTGTTATTTTTAGAAGTTAGTGAACATATTACTACATTTGCCTTAAATTGCAAATGCAGAAATTTTACCTTTTCTTAAAATGGGTATTTTTAGTAACAATAAAAAAGACCTGAAATTAATAGTTTGTGCTTATAATTTAAATGAACACAGGAAAGTGTCTATTTCAAATAAGTTTAAATTCAATATTGGAAATAAATACTATAGGTTCATTTGTGTTAGTTTATATGTGTATTTGTGAATATATAGAATAAGTATGCACCCAAATACCAGCATACCATTTGGCCTTATATATTTAGCTCTTTATAAGCTCTAATGTTTTAGCCTATACTTAGGAATGAAATAGTAAGCTACATAAGTGAAAAAAAACATAATAGCTTTCTCTGCATCAATTGTGAAATTGTTGGGAACCTCTGAGGATTGTAATATATACTTAAAAAAAGATAAACTACTCTGATATTAAACATCTGATAAACATCAGATAAACATCTGATATTAAACATCTAGAAAATAAACACCCAGAAACCAAATGTAAGAAGAAAAATGCCTACATTCTATATGCTTGTCTTAAAATTAAGAATCTTTAATACAAGACCAGGAAAGGAGAGGTTATGAACCAATGAATTCTTAATTCTCATTAATTCTTTAAAATATTATGATAATTTCACTAAAACAAATGCATTTAAATATATAAAAGCAGCATAACAAATATCTAGTGTATATATCTCTATATATCTATCACTAAAACAAATGTATTTAAATGTTTAAAAGTAGTATAACAAATGTAGTGTATATATCGCCATATATCTATCACTAAAACAAAGGTATTTAAATGTTTAAAAGTAGTATAACAAATCTAGTGTATCTCTCTCTCTACATATATCTATATAACAAAAATATTTATTTTAAAAACTTCCTGTTTTAGTTGAAAACCTACCCAATTTTATATCTTCTTCATGTCAGAGATAAAGCCCTTCTTGAATTTATTTTCATTCCTATACTTTCTTTCGACCTAGATCTGAATTCATATTCATCGTGTATTATGAAATCCCACCATTCATTGGAATCTAAGAAATACCTTTCCTTTGCTTTTTGTTATACTTTAAACCAAAACCACAGCAAACTAAACCACCAAAACCACCATTATTAACAATAGCTTCTTAGCATAAAAGGCCCTGGCCCTGGAAAGTCTGGTTACTACCTTGCCAGAATCAATTCTTGCTTTTCCCCCATTCTTCTTTTTAATTGAGTTATTGTGTTGGTCTCTTGAGACTTTTTGGACCCTCCAAGTTCTCTCCTAACAAAGGTCTTCACCTAATGCCTTCTTTTCTATGGAAATGCATTTCATTCCAGTGTTCATCAGGTAGATTTCCTCTTATTCTTTAGGTCCCCAATTTCAATTTAATTTCTTTTGAGAAACCTCTGATTGCTCCAATTAAAATTTCTTTGCCTGCAAAGATCTTGCTGTATATATCTATATCTGCATGATATTTTTAAAATTAAATGTCTGTCCTTCACTTTGGACTGGTCTATTTCTTAGTATATAATACACACAGTGTTGCACATTATAGGCACTCAATAAATATTTGTTTTTATCAGGGAGAGGAATGTAGGGAATGAGAAAGAAGAACAAAAGGGGATTGAAGGAAGAAAGAAGATTACATAAAATTGGAGTCCATTGGTTCGTTTGGACATACTGTTTAGACAAAAGCATCCAGCTTGATGATAGCCAAAGACTGAGATGATGAAGGAGATGGTAGGGAATTTCTGATTCTTACCTTTAAGTATAGAAATCTAGCAGCTTTTCTTTATTGCTCTTTCTCATTTTCCGTTGTAATCTCTTACTTTTTGTTCTCATTTTACTTTTTTGTTCTCATTTTGAGAACTCTGTATTCCTATATACAGAAAGTGAGTTTTTAAATTCTAAATTTATAGTGTGGGGCCAGGGGTTAACATTCTGTTGTGTAAATGCTATATTTTTTCTCTAAAAATCTGTGAAAATTTGTCTCATGTATGGAAATATTTGGTACATTTGCAGAAAACAATCATGAATCTACCTGTAAGAGTTTTAAGGTTGGATAACTGTAAAATATTCAGTGTGATAGCTGCTGTTTTTTGTCAGTTATGGGCTTGAGCTCAGGGCCTGGGTGCTGTCCCTGAGCTTTTTTATTCAAAGATAGTGCTCTACCACTTTGAGGAAAATTGATAAGAATAGTAGATTCAAGGGATAGATAGTATGGGAAATAATGGAAGAGATGACTCTGATCAAGATGCATTCTACACATAAATGTACATGTCAAATTGACGCCCCTTATATAATTATTTGAAGATAATAACAAAAGGTAGAGGGAAATATATGTTACATATATACACATAAGCAGACAAGTAGAATTCTCATTGCCTTTTAAAAAATTTTATTTTATTGCAAAAATGCTGTACAGAGGGGTTACAGTTACACGAGTAAGGTAATGAGTACATTTTTTGTCAAGCATTGTTACCCCCTCCTTTGTTTTTCTCTATTATCCCTTCCCTCCCCCACCTCCCCCCACTACTTCCCTTCCCCCAAGTTGTAAAGTTAATTTCCAACATAGTGTCTTGTGAGTCTCATTGTTGCAATGGGTCATCCTGTGTCCTTGTTTCAGTATTTTGTTATTCTTCCCCTCACCAAATTAGATAAATGTAGTAGGATTTTTTTTTAAGAAAAATGTCAGGTAGATAAATGGTTACTTAAGCCCTCCCTCTCTCCATCTCTTATTTTCTTCCTTCCTTCCTTTCCTTCCTTCCTTCCTTCCTTCTTTACTTCCTTCTCTTTCTCCCTCTCTCTCTTTCCTTCCTTCCTTCTTCTTTTTTTTTTTTTTTGTCGGTCCTGGGGCTTGAACTCTGGGCCTGAGCGCTGTCCCTTAGCTCTTCAGCTCAAGACCAGCACTCTACCATTTGAGCTACAATGCCACTTCCGGTTTTCTGGTGGTTTATTGGAGATAGGAGTCTCACGGTCTTTCCTGCCCGGGCTGGCTTTGAACCGCGATCCTCAGATCTCAGCCTCCTGAGTAGCTAGGATTACAGGCGTGAGCCACCAGCGCCTTACTTCTTTTTTCTTCCTGTCTTTTTTCCCTCCCTTCCTTCTTCCTCCCTCCCTCGCTCCCTCCTCCCTCCCTCCCTCTCTCACTCCCTCCCTTCCTCCCTTCCTCCCTTCCTTCCTCCCTCACTCCCTCCCTTCCTCCCTTCCTCCCTCCCTCCCTTCCTTCCTCCCTCCCTCCCTCTCCTCCTTCCTTCCTTCCTTCCTTCCTTCCTTCCTTCCTTCCTTCCTTCCTTCCTTCCCTCTTTTATTTTGTAATTCTATGGTTTTTTTCTTTCTTTTCTTTTGGTCATACTGGCGATTTGAATTCAGAGCCTCGTATTTACTAGGCTGGCAAAACACTGTTAGGCTATGCCTCCAATGTTCATTGTCTGTAGTTATTTTTAGGATAGGGTGTCACTTCCCACTTGGGCAGGCATATGAACCTTGATTTACCTACTTACTCACCTTTGCTGGGATCACAGGTGTGTACCACTGCACCCAGCTTCCCTTTTCTGGAGAGAGAGCATCTCACAGATTTTTCTGCCCCAGCTGTGCTGGCACTGGGATCCTCCCAATCACAGCCTCTCTTGCATTGGCATTATGCCACTGCTCTCAGCTATGGGTTGAGAAAGGATTATGTGAACTTTTCTGTACAGCCCCTCTAAAATCCTCCCCTGTTCAGCTTCCTGAGTAGTTGGGACTACAGGCAGAAGTCACTGGCACTCGGATTTCTATATTTTAATTTTTGGAAGAATGAAGTATGTTTTTCCAAGAATATTTATTATATTTTATTATTTATTTTTATTAATTTACATCAGTTGTACAGTATAGAAGTTTCACTGTGTTATTTCCATATATGCATGTAGTCTACTTTGATCAAATTCACCTCATCTATTACTCTTATCTCCCCATTTTAGGAATAATTCTATGGATTTCGCTATATATATATATATGTATATATATATATATACATATATATATATGAAGAATTTCAACCATATCCATCCTCTTCTTTCACCTAAGTCTGTGTTTATACTTGAGACATTCTTTTTCTTTTTGGTCTAGATTTCACATCCCCCCTCCCCCTTTTTTTTGTTTCTCAGTACTGGGGATTGAACTCAGGAC